TAATTTGATGAAGAAAGTTTAGCATTGTTTGTTGGAAACTTTGAAATGCAAATTTCCAACTAAACACAGTCTTTATGCTGAATTTGGTATTTCTTTTTCCTACTAAAAGGGTATCTATGCACATTTGTGTATATATGTATTGCTTAGCACGCATGTATTCATGTTCTAATTTTTTTTTACTCTGTTGGTATTTAATAGGAGAAAAACCGTGAACCAAAACCTCTAAGTAAAATGCATAGAGGGAATTATAAATCTAAGTCTTAAATTGCTTTTTCAAAAAACAAACCTTCTTATAGGTGATTATTTCATACATAAATTTTGAAAACACTGCTTTTTTTCTCAAAATCCTGCTTTGATTCTGCCCTTTGTGTTTATTGCATGTGAACAAAGCTAAGAGCCCCTGCAAAATTCATCAGTCTGGGAAATGACGGTATGTGGGTTCAAGTGACTTGAAAACATAAGTAAAGGAAATGGCCAGACTTGGTTTTGGCTCTTCAGCAAAGGGAAGTCTCTAGGGGCTCTGTGATCCTCTGTGGGCTGACTGTGGTCATGATCGTGCTCCTTCTGGCAGCTGGGAATGGCACGCAGAGCAAAGCGCTCCCCTTCCTGGACTCCATGCTCTCTCCATGGCGAGAGCCATCATTAGCTCCAGTGCGTGGGCCCTGCTCTGCTTGGGAACCGGAGGGTGGTGTTCAGAGCTCAGCAGGTCTCCGGGAGGAAATCCCTGCTGGGCACTTCCCTGCTGACATGCGTTGCTCTGAGCTCTTCCACTGAGATAGGCTTCCCCCGCCATAATGCAGCACTGACTGTGGGATTTGCGTGAGGAACCTGAAGTGCCCTTTAAAGGCTGCCACTTTCCCCCCCACCTTGAAGTACCCGCTTTTATATATCCCTTGCGAACACCACATGAAAGGAGAGCTTTTAGACTTGCTGTTGTTTTAACCTCCTAGCAAAGCAAGGATCTGTTCCCTCTTTCCCCTTTTATTACCAGCAGAATAATAAGCCCCACAGAATTAGTAACTCAAAGGTTTCATTCAGAATGCATCATAGCTGTGGAAAATATATACCCCAGCTTGCTGGGCTGATGACTTCCAAAACAATCATCCCTGTAATTCCCACTCAAGACTGCTTCCCAGCACCAACCACAGCAGGAAACATCCCAGAAACTGAAGCCTGAGTTTATATGACATAAAAATGCAAGGTCATGAGTATCTGAATGTTCTCGACGTGCCCCCAAGGAGCCGGGTGGGCACAGCATGCAGGAGTCAGTAGTACAGCACAGGTTGGGCAGGAAAGGACAAGGCCTCCTCCTCTCTCTTTCCACCTTTCTTAAATGGCCCAGGATGTCCTTGCCTGTCAAAGATTTCTCCTTTTGTTGTGGCCAGAAATGGTTATGACATGTTAACTCCCTGCTGCAAGCTCTTCAGTGCGATGCTGGTGCTGCCTCTCCCCTCCATCTATCTCATCTAGTGAAGTAATGTTTTGCCATATAGTGGATTCATTAGCTGCTTTCAACATCAAAGCCAATATCAAGTCTCGAGAGCTGTAGGTGTTTGTACACACCTACAGCGCAGGTCCTCTGTCTGAAAGGCAATGTCCACCCACTCCAGACCTGCGCAGGCAGGATGATGTTAGGGTCTTAAGATAAAAATCTGGAGGCTTGGTGAGCGGTGTGCCACAAATGGATCCTGCTGATGGTGCCCACTCATGTTATTGTAATGCTGTGCTGTGCTGACCTGGGCGGTTGGACTGTCAGGGTTTTGATAAACTCTCTGCTGGCAAAGAGTCACCCTTGGTGATGGGGATTGGACAGCATGTCCTGCCATGCAATGCTAGCCGGCTCGGCAGGGGGGTTGAACGCAGCACATGGGAGGTACGGGTGGCCAGCAGAGTGGTGTTGCATGCCCCAGTATTGACCCATCGTTATTGGGATCTTCATATAGGGAGATGGTCTCCTAAAGCTCCTTTCTCTGTCATTCTCCACCCTGATGCCTCATGGCCGGTTTTGGCTGTATTGGGCAGAGGGGTGCAGCCCCAGGCAGCTAGGAGGGAGGATGCAGCGTCCCGTTGAGGGAAGGACACCATGCCAATGCACAGGGCTGAGCCAAGCATGCTGTCAGTACAGTGATAGCCCAGAGACAGCTACAGCAAAGGGCTGCCCAGGACCATGGGGATGTGGAAAGCTGCTGGTAAAGACACAATTTTAAAATAAAAGCAAGTTTCAGCACTTGGCTGCTCCTGGAAGAGGTACTTGTCTTCTTAATAGGATGGTTCCCATGTCAGAAAGTTGCCTCTTTTAAAGTCACATTTAGTGTAAGGGGAATATTCCTGTCAGTGCTTCAGTTGCACTTGGTTGAAGACACCATCTGCTGCAACACTTGGCCAGCTTGGCAGTTAAAATGCCATTTAGACCGGAAAGCAACTGAGCCTGGATATCATCGGCAAAGGTGAACTTCCATAAGTGAATGAGGTTCCTGATAAAAAGACTGAACTGCAGAGGCATTTACAAAGAGCCCTGTGGAAGACCGCTGATTTTTCTGCATATGCTTTATTTCCTGTACATGCCTTATGCAATGTACCTTGGAGAAGCAATGTTACAAGAGATGTCAGTGAAATTCTGCTTTTAAAATCCAGCATTTGTGGTTCTGGCTGATTAAAGCAGGATGAGCAGGTTTCTGTCCTCTCCAGAAACGGTATTGACGATATTTTCCAAACCAAGCTCCTGAGTCCTAGGCTTGCTTCAGCCCAGCGGGGCAGGAGGATGAGCCCATTTTCCTGCCTTTCTGTGGAGTATTGCTGCACACAAAGCTGTTCAAAACTGTTTCCTCCCTCAACGTTTCTGTTCCAGCTGACAACAAAAGTACAAACCAGCTCTGAGGCCTCTTTCTTCAGCACAGGAGGTGTAGGAAGAGTTACTGCGAATACAGAGGCTCATTCCCAGCTATATCACCTGACGTGTGTTTAGGCTGCAATCCAAAAAATTCACAGGACAAAGAAGGAAGAGGAATGAAATAGGAAGAAAATGCATTAATAAGAAGTAGAGGCTAAAACTAATAGAGTTAATTGCTCTACCCAGGTTTGTGCCCATAGGGCATGTATAGATGATTTTAGTAATGAAGCTCTTCAGCAGCGCTGGGGCAAACTTGATTCTTAAGGTCAAATAATCAATCAAGATGAAAACATTGAAAGAGTCCTTTCCATGTATGCTGCTCAGTATGGCTCAAATTGCTTTTCAGCTGTGCTCAGTGCTTTTTGTTGACTTGAAGTAAATTAAACATTATCCTTTTTTAGATAGGTTAGGAGATCTCAGTAAGTGCTACTTAATCCTAATTTAAAGACTAGAACTAGTTTAAAGCAATTAAAGCTAAAACCCCCACCTTTAAATAATGAATTAATTTGATTTAATAGGGAAGCAACTGGGGGTGAAGTGACCCAGGCAGGTGGGGATGAGAAGGACAAGAAGCCAGCACAGAGCCAGCAGTGCAGCCGCTGGGGCGGCTATTAGGGAGCGAAGTAGTTTTTTTCCTTCTTGACAGGCAATTGCAAGCATATAATATATTCAAACCCCTTCTTAGGTGTCTTTATCAATGATTTTTATAAGTCAGTGTATTGGGTGTAATTGTCTAGGTGCTGGCAGCGGGGGCTGCAGGG